ACAAATTAAATCCATGGCAAAAATAACCATAACTTAGAACAGAGCGATGGTAGAATCTGGCAGAGAAAGGCCCCAGCCTGCATGAATCATTATTTTCTAGAGGAAACCTTATATAATGCAAGCCACTCTGTTTTAAAACAAATTAAACCTTCCGAAAACTCCAATTAATAGGTTTGGCAAAGCTCTGTCTTTAATTCAGGTATTTTGGCAATTTGCTAAGATAAAAAAAAAACTACCTGGTACCAACTAACTTTACGGCAGTCTACACCCTGCTTTCGGCATCTCCCAAAACCTCCATCAGAAGGCAAAGGGGAGATGAGAGCATCTACCTGGGGCCGGAGGAAGGCGATTAGATTGCAATGCCATCTTGTGGAACAGGAGAAAACGAAAGACAGAAAAAAAATTGCTCGGCCGCCACTTTGCAATTGTATGTTATTTTACAGGACACAGACGTTGGCCCAGCAGGGTATATTCGGTGGTTACTTCTCATTTTCCTCGTTTATCTGAAAAGTTAGAGGGAGACACGCAGTGATAACTGCAGAGACATGGTCTGCTTCCCTCACACTGCGTGGAAGGGGACGGACACGCCTGTCAGAAATAAAAGGTTGCTCTTTCTTGCTTGTTTTTAGCCTTCACAATGACAAAGTCACAATCTTCTGCGCTGCTGCCCCAGGAAATCAGCCTTTCTCCTCGGCTCCAGGAGAGCCACCAAAAAGAGTGACTTGGGTAGGATCGGGAGTAGGACCACACCAATCCCCCAGATCCCCCTCCCAATCCATGGTATAGCTTAGTAGGACCTGAAGAACATTTCTGACTCCGTGAATCACGCAGCTCACCTGCAATCGCCTTGGCATACGTCGCATCTGATACATAGGCTCCCAGCTGCGTCCTGTGTTACTAAAATCCCTGTATGTCGTTCTTATCTCAAACAAAGCCTGGTTTAACCATCCTCTCTGCAAGGAGCTGCCTGTTTATAAGTTAAGGATGGGGGAAAGTTACCAAAAAGCACCATCCAGGTAAGGCAGGATGCAGCTGTGGACGATGACAGACCTTCTCCTCTCCATGGTGAGGCCAACTGCAACCCACAGCCAGGCAGAAGGAACCACGGATTCTTTGCAGACTCCTGACTAACACTAAATGCTTGAGCCTGATGATGAACAGAAATAAAACCAACCCAGACAGGTGCATATTGCGCTGAGCGGCCGTGTTTTGGGGGCCCCACAAAACCTGCACCCACTTCTTTGAAATGGGCTGTACCCCCAGCCCTCGGAGACCTGACGCGGTGGGACAGCCTGTGCTCCAGCTGCCGAAGCCTGGGGACTGCAAGCAGAGGGGAAGGTTTGGCGCTGGCAGGCTGTTCTCAGGACGGGTGCCAAGGACACCAAGGGATGAGCTGATGCTGGAGCCCACTCGGGTCAAGAGAGGATTAAAAACCACACAGGAGCTGCGCAGTGAACCCAGACAGCAGAACTGCTGAGAGTTTGACAGCAATGCAGCAGCACGCTTTTCAGGGCACACATTTTCCTTTAAATATTTTTTTTTCCAAAATTGGAAATTTTGAAAATTTTTGGAAAATGTGGAAATTTTTTCCAATTGGAATGGATGGGGTCGCAGTTAGGCTATCTCTACCCAGGAAAACCAAAACCACTGGAGGAATCAGTCATTAAGGTACTGTGGCATTTGCCGTATCATCAGGTTGTTCCAGTTGAAGGGTTTGTTTGGGGCAAATTTGTTTCCCCTCCCCAGAATCTCAACCTTAGTTATACTTTCATTTCTTTGCTTATTTTTAAATGCAGTTCTTAAGAGGACATTATGAGGGTTAAAATTCCTAATAAAAAAGTTAGCGAGAAATGGTTACTGAGTGTTACTCTGCACAAAAAAACCCAACCCTAAAGGTATGGAATCTGGGAGAGAGTGGGGACAAACAAACCCAAGAGAACCAGTGGTAACACTGAAAAGTCAGGAA